GCAGCCGACGGAGACGCAGGAGGAGGAAGCAGCAAAGGAAGAGGAGGCAGAGGGAGGGAGAGAAACCACAGCGAATGAGTGGCTTAGAGAATGAGGGAGTCATGTTCCTTTGTTCCAGAGCGAGTCTGGGAAAGGGTGAGGAACCATGTTAGCGAGTCCCAAGAGCTGTGGTTACAGTCTCGTGTGTGTGTGAGACTGTGCAACGTTCAGTTCTGGGTGTTTCATGCCACTGCATTGGGTTTTGGATTTTTTTAAAATTATGTCATGAATAGTGTTATACAGATTTGGTTGCATCTCAATAAATCAACGGGGGAGCTTCATTTTGACCAAAATAGAGTTTTGCCCCCTTCTTGTGGAATCTTAATGCAACAGTGTTGACGTTTGATGAGGAGTTCCACTTTGACCAAAATAGTGCTTGTCAGAGCGATCATCATTTCTTCTTCAAATCTCATTTCGAAAACATGATTTCCTGTTTAAAATAGATTAAATGTCTTCTTCCGGCGCAGTTTGTCATCATGACTGCACGCGGCGCGCGGGGGGTGCACACCCTCCCACTGTTCCTTTATTACAGATGACGAAGGAGTGCGGCGACTCGTGGCTTGTAATTAGCAATGCTGTGACATGAAATATCCTTGACCCTTTATTGCAGCAGTACTGACGTTGCACCGTTATGTTCTTCCCTGTCCATGTGTATAAACGCTGCCGCACGCACATACACAGGAGCGCACACATTTTAAGACGTGGCGGTATTTGTTTGAACCCCCCCCCAGCCCTCCCACCCCAGCCATCACATACATCCCCCATTTTCATCGTCATCGCTGCCGCGGTAACCAGACGACACTTTTAAATCGCCAAGATGCACTGCGACTGAATGTGAATCCAGCGGCTAATTGTCTTGTTTTCTTCCCTGCAGCTTTTCCAGATCCACGGCTCCCGGATGTAGACATGACAAGAACCTAAATTATTTATTTAGGCTCATAACAACATCCTGTACTTGGAACGCGTATGTGTGTGTGTGGCGTCCAACGGAAGGCTGCCGCAAATGGATTTGTAGCATTATAAATTGACCAACTTTAAAAAAAAAAAAAAAAAAAAAAGGGTGAACCGAAACAACCCATATTTCATTGAGTACAGCAATATTCTCAAAATATAGTTTCCAGGGAGCTTAGAAAAAGGAACAGCTTGTGTTTCGAAAGTAGTCCGGCTTAGTACATTCATGACCAAAGATTTTAAATAACCTGAACCACATCACAATGAACTCCCAATGACGTTTCCATGGAAACGGCCATAGAATTAACATCCAAAATGGTGCATTACGCGAGGTAGGTCGAAAGTGCTTGAATTGGCTGCGAATTTGCATCACCTCATAGTATTTGAAGGTTATTGCAGTTCTCGTTTAGAAATGTATCACATAGGCCCAAGTGGCTCTTTTTATAAACGAGCAACCGGCATGTTCTGGAAACTTTTAAGGTCCTCGCAATACACTTGTAGCAGGATTACCAGGATTCATGTTTCGGATAAGATGTTTAGATGATGATAATCATATCGGTGGTAGTGAAAAACTTCAGTAATTTTTTTTTTTTTTTTTTAAACAGGGATAAATTCAGTGCCTTGTTCAAGCGGCAAAAGACTGACATGTCAAAATGGTCATGGTTGTGTTTATTTGCATATTAGAATTCACTTTGTGCATAGTTTACAGTCCGAGTTACGTTTTGATTGCAATAGAGTTGTATTTTTTTTTCCGGGGGGGGTGTAGAAAAACATGCAGCTGCATATTTGTGCTAAATGGAGATGTTGAGGGCTTGAGCTGTTTTTTTTTTGTCTTTTTTTTAATTCTTTTATATATTTGTCTTATTTATTATCAAGGTTTCTTTAGAAATGTTTCGCTCTCTCAAAAAAAAAATAAAAAATCTGTATTTTTTTGGAAAGGGTTGCTCATCAATTGGATAGGTAACTTTTTTTTTTTGTACATGCGATCGTTTTAAAGTTTGACTGATCCAATGTTCTTGACCCAAAAAAAAATCCGGCGCAAGATATGCTGGGATGTTTTGAGCAGCATATTCACCTGTTGACATTCGCTCCTTTCAATCCGCCTCCGTTTGCATGTCGAGGGTGCTTTTGTGACATCCTCACATCGTGTTTGGGAATTTGTTCACCGCACATGAAATGTTTCCTGCTGTATTTGATGTGTAGAATTTATACAAGCCCATGCATTACTTCTGTACAATAACAACCAAGACGGAACGTATGGTCAACAAAAATGGATTTAATCGGAGTGCGCAGCCTCATTGTATTTAAATGGGAAATCATCTTGACAAAAATACATTAGACTTCCCCCCACTAAGTCTAAACGTGCTATTCCGTCTCACGTTGTGTTTGTGGCATATGAAAGGAGCTGCCCGTTTTACCCGTCGACCGCAAATGACGTCACGGTGCCTCGGGGCTCGTCTTGCAAATGTCACAATCACCAAATGAAGAAAACAAGGTGAGCCGCGACAGTCGTTACCCGAGAACCCCTCGGCACTGTGATGTCATTTTTAGTTTGACAGCAAGCGGCAGTAGACAGCAAAATCTTTGCCTGCTGACATTTTATGTACATGAATTCCTCGTCTCCTCAAAACAAAAAATAAAATGTCTTTTTTTTTTTTTTTGTATCGTGTCTTATTTTACTCTCCTGATCGCACCTACACTGTCTTTTGCTTTTTAATGTTATAGTATAGTTGTAAAAAATGTTCCCGTCGTGTCACTAATCGTGTTTTTCACTCGCCTGTACTTTGCAGGCAGCAGGGGTTGAGTTCCCAGTCAATGACTATCGAATGCTTGTCTTTGTATGTGCCCTGCGATTGATTGGCGAGCACTCCAAAGTGTAGTCCAAAGTGCCTTTTCGCCCCCCCCCCAAAGTCAGCTGGACGTCACCCTAATGAGGACAAAAACAATAGAAAATGGATGGATAGAGTCGTACCCAACATCGGAGCCGGTGAGTGTAGAACGGAAACAAAGACGCGATCAATTTTGGACATTCAAAAGTCTTTTCCTGATGATGATGATGTTTGTCCTACAGGAAGGTGCTCAGGGTGTTATCCACAGTGGCAAGATGCAAGTATTCCGGGGGTTCCGCTTCGGATCTCCGCCCCTTGTCCTCCTCTTGGCTCCAGCTCATGAGTGGCCTCTTTCGGCGCACGGATCCTCGGGAGCGTCGCTCCAGGCACGCCAGGATCATGTGGGCAAGGTCCTGCTGGAGCCGCTGGAAGTTCTCCCTGGGAAAGCAAAAGGGGTGGATAAAGATGCATTTCTGAGCGTTGATGAGGTACGGGATTCGCGTACGTCGTAGGTGGAGTCGGGAGGTCGTAGTCTTCGCCCGTCTCGCCGGTCAACCAGTAGGTTGTCTCTGTTCCTTTACCCTGAGAAACAAAAGTGAACTTTTGAGTCTGTGACTTGATAATAATCAGCATGCATTGCCCTCTCGTCTGACCGTTAACCGCGATTGCAGTTTGTGTTCTTCAGTTACCTTCAGATAGGTTTCGCCTCTGTACTCGTACTCGAACTTGCAGTCTGTCCTCGTCAGGATATTAATAGTCGGCTGACTGACGTGGATCCGCAGGGCTGCGGCACCAAATGTCAGAATCGTTTCATTAGATTCGCCCGTGAGATATTGCACATCAATTATGACGAATGTCACGGGGGCAGGAACCCCGACTGGCGTTAATGTCGACATAAATCACTTGGCTCATTTCGGAGCGCACTCACGGTGTCCCGTCGACTCCATTCGAGACGCCGTGTTGACCGTGTCCCCGAATAAACAATATCTGGGCATCTTTACACCAACCACGCCTGCTGCGCACAGACCTGAGACACGATGACACGGGATAGCATGAGCATGTCATATTTAACCCTTGTCACCTGATAACATGACAAGATCGAATGCGATCGGCAGATCAGAACAAAATGCGGTCTACCTGAGTGCACGCCGATGCGTATCCACACGGGGATCCCGGGCAGATGTCTGAGTTGGAAGTTACCCATGAAGGCCAAAATGTCCAAGGCCATGCGGCAGATATCCACCGCGTGCCTGTTCCCGTTACGGTTCGGTAGACCGGACGCCACCATGTAGGCGTCGCCGATCGTCTCCACCTGAGAGTCGGCGGGAGAACCGATGAGTCCTACGTGTGTCCTGCTTATCTACATGGGCTGTACGATGCCACACATCGGCCGTCGTCGTACCTTGTAGACGTCGTGGTGGTCCAGGATGCTGTCGAAGCCCTTGTAGATGTCGTTGAGCATGTCCACCACCTCCATGGGCGTGCTGTACTGGCACAGCGTGGTAAAGCCCACGATGTCGCTGAAATAAATGGTCACCTCGTCGTACAGCTCCGGCTCCACGACGCCCGTCTCCTTTAGGCTCTTCACCACAGGGCTGCCCCCCCCCCCCAAAAAAAACGAAACACGTTCAGGGATGCGCGGGAAGAGGTTCTTCCACGTGAATAGCTTGTTTGTGGGGTAACGATGGCGAAATTTAAGGTGAAATAGAAGGGAATTCAAGACACCGTGGAAGAAGCATGAAGTTGAGGCAGTCCGCGCGGTCCCTCTCCATTTTGTAAAGAGCCGTTCTCTCTCCCACCAGGTGCTCCAGGTTTTTGGAATACATCTGCAGCCGACGTATCATGTTGTCCAGGTAGCTTTCGTTGTCTTTGTTGTGAATTTTACTAGATGGGGTGGGGGGGGGGAATAAAATTAAATATAGAATTGATAGAAACGACTATCCAGCTTTTTTTGTTTTCTTTTTAAGTAACGGCAACAAACATGACAGTTACCTAATGATTTTGCCCAAATAGCTTTCCACCTTCTTGAAATCCGGTCTTTTCTCAGCATCCTCCTCCCAACAACTTTTGATCAACATGTAGACCTAAAGGCACATCGAGAACAAAAAAAATAAATCAATAAAAATCCCACGTTAAGGAATGTTGCCGTTTAACCTGATGAAGGCAATAAATATTTTTTAATATTGCTTTTAACATGTATGTTGTCATGACGCAATGGCTGTGTAATCACACTATGATAGCAGCTTTACCTCAAGTTCTTTTTCTGTCGCCGTCTCAAAGTCCAGATCAGGTCTGAAGTAGGACATGATGACCCTCGATAACTTTTCTGGGCACACATACAAATTCTTCCGTGAATACAAATCGCAAATACCGACGAGGTGCTGCTGCGTCACCTGCACGGTCCGAGCAGCATTCCGTGTAGAAGGTTGATTTCCTGAGAACGATCTCATGAGCGATGATGGCGAAACTGTACACGTCTCCTTTTTGGGAGGTGCCCTCCTTCCTCAAGTGCTCGGGGGCCGTCCACAAGTCTGCGGCGGTTACGCGGGTTACCCGTGGATGACGAGAAAATCGATCCGATTGCGCTTTTTTTTACCTCTGCCAGGGTTGAGAAAAGAGTTGCAGCCGAAATCTGTGATCTTCACCACCATGCGGTTGTCCACCACGCAGTTGGTGGACTTGAGGCGTCCGTGCACTTGGATGGCGCTGGCATGGAGGTAGGACATGCCCTGCACAGACGGATAGCACAGAGCAGCAAGCTTTGGCGCCCTCTACTGGCAGAAATGAGGCCCTGCTGCAACATTTCTAGGAACAGCAGGTGGTTTGCAACGTTGTTGTCGCCAAGGACGTTGAAGTGAATTGAGGAGCTTCATTTAGAACAAAAAAAGAGCTTTGCCAAGACCTTGCGCCTTGGTCCAAGGAACTTTGTTGAAGTGATTTGAGGTCACTACCACCCACTACATTCATTCCCCCCCCCAAAAAAAAGTGCAATCGTTTTAGGTTGTCACCTTGGCAATGTCATACATGACAGAGATCTTGAACTCCCAGTCCATGAACGTCTCTTCTGGATAGGACACCTTGTCATTCAGCACGTACTGGATCGAGTAAAAGGACAGAAGCTCGTTCTTAGTTCATCGAACACAATCGGCTTTATTGTGTTGTCATTTAACTGCTTGTAACTTAGTTACTGATAAGCCTTCTTTGATTATTCGGCCATCATTCACACGCAGCTTCGAAGGGAATTCAATTACAAGCATGTAAAAATAAACTCTTCATACTTACCCGAAGCGACCCCCGCTCACCGTACTCAAAGACCCCAAACACGCCCTGATCGAACTTCACTGTGCCGTAGAACTTGGTGAGGTTGTAATAGTCGATTTGCAGGAGCTGCAGAGAGAAGCGGGGGGATGATTCTTTTAGAAATCGAAACGTTGCACGCCCGCGAGTGTGCGCCTCACCGCATGAAGTTCCACTTTCTGCGTCTCGTTGAAGTTACCGTCCAAGTGGTTGAGCTCCTTCAGGATGACAATCTGAAAAGATTCAGCGGCGGCGGCGACGATCAATGACAGATGCCGCGTACACGTTTTAAGTCCTTCATTTGTTCAACTACCTTCTTATCATAGAGCGCACGGCGAATCTTATAAACCTTTTTCCTCTCTTCAATCTGATGGGAGATGACAGGAAAGACATTTGAAGACACGGAAAAGCGCACGGGCGCGAGGTTTCCGAATTTCTTTTCGGATGCTTGGATTTCAAGACCTTCAGATAGACTTGGTTGAGCGAGTTGTCCTCCAGCAGCGTGACGAGATCGGAGGGGATGTGGGAAATGGAGCACCGCTTCCTCAGGAGACGATCTCTCCTGTTCTGTCTGGATAGGCGATCAATATAAATATCTTGCATATATAGCACAACGTTTGGCCAGCATTTCTGTGAGCCTGCGCACTGAAACGGAGCTTCGATCACCTGTAGAAGATGAAAGCAATGATGGCCACCACCACCACAATCACACTCAAGATGATGACGATGATGTTATGCGACGCCTCCTCTGAGGGGTGGGGGGGGAAGAATCAATCACTCGTTTACAGTTTCTCGACCGTAACAGACGTATTCAGGTTCCGATCGTGCTACGTTAGCATAGCGAGTTGCTAGCGATTGGTATTTTTCAGCTCTGCGGTGTGCAATTACAAAACGCCACAGACTCTACCTTCATCCGGTTTGAAATTCGGAAGTCTTGTCCCCCAGACAAAGGAGGGGTAGTCCTCAACTTGCATGGTCAGGTTGCGCTCTGTGTCAAACTCGAATAAAATACGATACTGGCGAGAGAACAACGTACTTCAGCTTCATTTCGGCATACAATATGAGATCGTGTGGCGACGTTGCTCTTGAAAACGCCCGCACCTTGTCATCATTTGTGGTGTAAATGACGGACAGGTTCACGTCTCTGTCCCCTTGCTTGTCAAGCCGATAGTTCCCAGCGATGCCTGAACAAGAGGACAAGGAACGTTGTCAACGCTAACCAAGTGCCAGTCGCATCTTCATCATGTCACCCAATATGATTGACAGGCTGACAGGCTTCTTCTGCCGTACGTCAGGCCCGCGCACGTCACGTCCGCTGCCCTCGCTTTTCCGACATTGTTTTTTGCGAGCGCTCGAAGCGACGCATGCGCATCCAAAACACTCGCGAGGCTCACACGAGACTTTTTGGTTTCTTACCGTCAAACGAGGTGTTCCGAAGGTAATTCACAGTCACGTATGGCATGTGATTAGCTCCCGGGTGAGGTTTTGCAATTATTTCCCGAATCACCCGACCAACCAGGAGCACTGAGTCGTGGTACGCCGCCATGTAGTCGTTCATCTGCGTGAAGATGAGAAACACATTTGATTGATTTCTGAATAGTCTGCCATAAAAATGAAACCTCCCTGCTCGAAAGTCTCCTGAAATACTCCTTCGAGGGCATTACATGATGAAATATAGCACGTCCTTACTGTGCTGTTGCTTTTGAGGTCTGAGTTGATCGTGTAATTCCTGGTGTTGGGCATGGTGAGTACCAACACATTCTTCATGGATGGATGAGACGTTGCGTTGATGTAATATTGATCACTGCGGAAAAGAGGCAAGCGAGCGTTACTCCAATTGAGTTTGAGCACCGAAGGGCAATTGCGCTTTAAACGCAGCGTGTGCATGACGTCGCGCGCCACGTCAAAGGACTGACTTGTAAAGATCGATCAGGATGAAGAGAATCTCACTGCTGTCCGCTTCTTTTGCGAGGTTTTTCACCTCCGCGACATCCTTCACAGAGCCGCACATAATGAACACTGCGAAGTAAAAAAGGCATTCGAAATCTCATTCTGGTGAGTAGGATTCTTTCGGGCGTATGTCCCACGGAAGGCTTACAGTTGCTTGTCCTGTTCCTGGGAGACGACAGGACTGTTTTGAGGTCCTCCGGTTTGCGCAGCATTGTTCTTTTCACCTTCTGAGCAAACATGTGTGGGGCTGATTCCAGTGCATTTATATACCTGTGAAAATGACAACTCCCATCACTTTTTCCAAATATTATGCTTCTCCTTATTAACCCTTTCAGAGACAGCGGTTACGACAGTGGACAGCTGATCGTGTTATCAGGTTACCAGGTGCATGAAAGGGTTAAATTAATAATTGCAGCCCCAGGTGTCATTTGGAGAACTGGCGCTGGCCTCTGAATAAGACATCCACAAGTTACTAACTATAGATCTTAATTAAGCCGATAAATGAGGTAACTTTCGACCAGGGGGTCGAGTACAGAGCCTTGAGGTGCACCGTAAAATTCAAAAGCATTCGTAAAGATCACAAATACTACGTGGTCTCACCAAAAACAATCCTCCGTGTTAGTCTGTAACTTGTACACATAAGCTGTCTCCCACACAGACTTGATGTCGTTGTCGTCTTTCCAGAAGTGGACGAAAAAGTCGGAGATTTTGCGGGCGGGTGGCAGGAGGCGCTGCAGGTTGAGCGTGTTGTCACAGGCTGGTCCGAAGCTGCCAGCCGACAGGATGGGCGTGCTTAATTTTAGACCCTTCTCAGCACTGACGCAGGGAGTTGAAAGAGCACGTGAATATGGCGCACAGACGACATCCTTGGAGAGATGATTGGAGATGAACTTACTCGACCAAGGGGAAAGTGGCATACGTGCACGTGGGGCCGAGCACGGCACAGCCCAGGCTGTTTGAATGCTGCAGAGATATCACACAGTGAGCTTTTTTTTTTTTTTTTTGTATAATTTTTCAGCTTTTCCAGGTCTCCCAGATGTCATTTGAGTCAATTTAACGCTAATATTTCTTGACTGCTACTACCTCTATGAGTCGGACAGTAATCTGAATATACAGTAGATCCAGACGTACTCACCATAAGATTTTTCAGCTCGGCCACTCCTTCACAGGCGCTGCTGTGGCAGCCTCTTTTTCGATAATAGGTTGTGTTGAAACCACCGAATTTCACCGTCAGATTGAATTTTGTGTCTTTAATATGTTGGGTAGGAAACAAAGAAAACAGAAAGGGAAAACAAGTGGTTACTGTTTCGTTGAGTTTATCACTTGGTGGAGGTGAGAGGGGGCAGTAAAGGCAATAGCTTGTCAATAAATAATACCCTTATAGATAATGGTACTGTGCTCGTGTACTTCATTACTTCTGTGGAGTCCCACGGTCAACTTGCATAACGAGTTCATTAGGACAAATAAACGTGTCAGTTTAAGATTTATGTACCTGACAAGTAACATGTAATCATCACTTATGGGTAGTCATTGCATCACTTGAAAGCAAGGACACAAAAAAAAACGGGATAAGAGGAGGGAATTGAATTTGTGCTGTTTATACAGTTTTGTTTTTAGTGGTGTTGGTGGTGGGGTGGGGGGTTATAGATCAAAAATGAGAAGGGAGGAGTGAGTACAGCAAATGTGTACGTTTCACGCGTTTTCTTACCGTTTTCTTGCACAGACTCGGATTCCAAGGCCTTCAGTATTTGTCCCCGGACAAACTTTAAACTCCAGGGAGACTCTTCGTCGTCCAGGAGGATCACGTTCATTGAGACGCCTCTTAAACACTGTCTGATACCATGATGGGATGCCACGAGAGTCGCAAAAGTACACAACCACAAGAACCAGCCCCCTGAAGCCATTTTAGTTGGATTCATCCTCTTAGACTAAAAAATAAAAATAATCCATGAAGGCTTTCGGGTCCAATGTGCAAATCAGGCAATCTCAAAATGCAAAAATAACAACAGATCCAGCACCTGACCTCTTCATCAGTTGCTGAAACGCCTGTCTCTTCAAAAAAATCACTTCCTCTGTCTCTCACCGACACTTCACGCGCACAGACTTGTTAATGTACAACCAGCAGAGATCCAAGAAGACCATATAACCTCGTCTCTTGTCATGCCAAGGTCTGCATGAATTATGAGCACAAACACGGGCAGGCGCGCAGTCACATTGGAGATGATAAGCGCCGTGACGACTACTTCTGCCTGGAAGCATTGTGATAAAAGCATAAAGACATAAATACAGGTTTGGGGAGTGATTTCAAATGTGTTGTTCTTACACGGGGGTGGCAATGGAGAACAGATTCCGTTTCCAATGCTCCAGACAAGATGCCACATGCAAGCGCAAATCCAATTCGGGCCATGAACAAACATCCAAACAACATGCTGACGTCACTTAACCCAATACGACTGCGTGGATGCAAGTTAGGTGGTATTTTACGATATAGTTATGCGCCCACAAACGAATGGATTAATTAATAACAGAAAGCCCGTATCTGTTTTTATCAAGACAGATTTCATTCAAAAACAACGGCAACATGCTCCTCCCCCTCCCTCACCTGAAGTTGCCAAAGCACGTGTTCACGGACCCTCGTAAATGACCAATTAACTTCATTCAATATGGATCTAGGTTACTGTGTACACTATAAAGTGCTGAGTTATATGTATTGCTCATAACTGGCATGTGATTATCTTCATTTTAGCACACATGCTTCATACGTGTTGGACATTCATAGTGTTTATTCAATGTGTCACAATGTTATTTTGTATCATGCAGTGCAATGATTTCTCTTCAATTGAAACTTAAAAACACCTGGTGGCCGCGAAAGCAAGCACACGACGGGAAGAGAGTGTGGTCAAAATAGTCACCCTGTTTAATCTGTCGCTTTCGTTCCATCATGTTATCACTCACGTGATACAGTCAGTTTATTCAATTCATATCTAAGTACCAAAAGAGACAGTTGCTGCGATAAGACACAGAAGTGCTTTTGCCTGCTAACATACAGCAGTGAAAATCGACACATACATTGTGTGTTACTACTCAAAAAGATTTTTAGTGAAGAGCTGCTCAAACAAAACTGTGAAATATTTCAAATGACAAAGATCAGGTAGAAATGAATGCTAAATAAGAGTCCAGTTTACCATATTCAAAAAGGCTTAGAGTTGCTCAAATGTTTAAGACAGTTACGAACAAAATAAATAAATCAATAAATAGTAAATAGTCATTGAAAACCTATGACACAAATGTTTTCCTACTTGCCATCACCTCCGAAATGAACACCGATTTCCTGCATTTTCCAACAATCACCCTCGTTCTTTTTTCATTTAATTTTTTGGGGAAAACCAACATTTGTGAATGCCTCATGCAGTGCAGAAAAAAAAATGGACAAAGCCCACAGACCCAAGTCTCGCCAGAAAAGTTGAACTAAGAGAACTAACACGATACTGTCTTCCATTTTCACTTCTTTTAGGTGCTAAAGGCCAAGTCTCCCAATAGTTTTGTCCATTAAATAAGTCCTCCTTTTATCCTTCCTCCATCCTATCCTCATCTCTCACATCAACTTCCTCCCCTTTATCGAATGCGTCTCCAATCCCAAACCTTCTCAAATTGATGTGCCTGTCAATAGAACTTGCTACAGTAATCCTTGATTTTCACACTGAGTACAGTACAGTATTGCTTATTACATGATGAGTTACTGCATGACTGACATGAAGTCATATGAAGGCATAAGTACATTGTGGGAGTCATGACACAAAAGTGTCACATAAAAATAATATTGGTGTTTTTTTTTTTTTTGTGGGGGGGATGAAACGGATTAATTGTTTTCCCAATCATTTCAATGCTCCAAGATGATTTGAGACACGAGCGTCTTGAGTTCCGAGCGTAATCACGATTTGAATTCAAAGTTGTAAGTTGAGGCACCATTGTACATTTATGGCTTGGAAGTGTTTTTTTTTTCCCCCGCACCAACAATGCTGGAATGACATTTTCAGGTTGCAAATCATTTGTTACGTCATGGCGCGACACGAGAAGCCACGCTCAGTTCTCCTGTCCATGCACGAAATGGATTTAAGATGATAAAAAAACCTAATGGGGACCTTCAGACTAATGAGAAGCTCATCATATACTTTATAAAGTACAAAACTATTCTGATTCTGATGTCTAGTACACCTGCCCAATCGAATGAGATCCAACCCAAGTACTGTTTACAAAACCACCTTTAATAGTAATTTTTCCGCTCGGTTTTGGTCATTATTTAGCAACGCCACCAAACTAAACCACACTAACCACCATATTGTTAAATAACGACCTATTTGACAACCTCAGAATTGAATATTAGGTTTTATAAAGGCGGAATTGTCATTTGATTGTGCAGGTGTGCCTAACATTGTGGCCCGTCACACTCATGAAGTGATTGTATGACGATGCAAATTTTTTTTCCGGTTTGTATTTCTGCAGGCTACATTCAAATCTTTTACTTTAAACCTTCTGTCCACCTGTTTGCGACTCTCCCGTCTCGCCCCTTCATCTCCATTTGTCATGCTTCCCGTGACAGAAAATCTCCCAACGTTTCCAATCCAGACCTCCCCCAAGACCCTCGGGGTCAGCAGCGAAGGTCTAGGAGCTGATGATCTGACCCGACCAAGTCTCATGCTTGCTTCCCGGCTTCGGGTGGGTGATCACCACCTCCACTGCCTGGATCTTCTGCATCTTGGGTGGGATGGGGCACACCTTGTACGTCACCTCGTCCCCTTCCACGGGCACGTACTCGCCCTCAATGCTGTGTCAGAGAGGGCACAATCGACATGAGAAACGGATGGACTATCGTTGACCTTCCTGAAATTAGATTTTAACACTCAGGAGTCTTCACTCACTCTGAGATATGGACAAAGATGTCTTCTCCTCCATGAGAGGGCCGAATGAATCCGTGCCCCTGTGAGCGGGAGAAGTTCTTGCATACGCCCTTAAACACGGGACCCGATTTGGCTCGTACAGTCCTGCACACAGCCAGGACGGAGGCAAGTGAGGCCCGTGTGGACCAGAACACTAATTGAGTCAACTTCCTGTACGATGAACCGCAAATGCTTGTTAACTTTTTCCACAACGTTCTTTTCTCCAACAAGGAGCTGAATGACAAAAAAAAAAAAAAGAAAAAAGTGCAACTCACGCCGAGTACGTGCGAGTGCGTTTGGTAGGCAGGGGGCTGGGCAGCTCTCCGCTGGGCAGGGGGGGCTTCCTCTCCCTCTCCCAAACCCTGCTTCCCTCCCGCAGGAAGGGGAAGGAGATCTGAGGCGGGTTGCGAGGGGAGGCCAGAGGCAGCGGGGGGCCCGTCGGCGACGAGGGGTCGGCGTCGGACATGCTGGCTTGTGTGAGACGTGCGTCTCCTTTTCCTCGATGTCACACGGGAAGGGGAGGGCGGGCCGAGGGTTACGCCCCATGCATGGCGGGCGTAAGCAACGACTGAAGGAGAAAAAAAATATAAGGGGTCAATAGAAAGGCATGATGGGGGGGGGGCAATAATGTGCCCCAACATATTACATTTATATTGTGAAAAAATGTGGAAAGGAAGATTTATTTGGCCTGTGGGCCTTGAGTTTGGCACACACGCATGCATGCTCACACAGTGTCAGCTGGCCCGATTTGATAAGTAACCTAAATAATTGAACAACTTGGCTCGGAGATCTTTTATTAGCAGGCTTATTAAGGCCACGGAGGAGTGAGTGGACTTTTCTCTGCTGCTGCTTCCCTATAAGTGGATGAAAGCTTCCATTATGAGTAAACATGACTGAAACACTCACAAGAACTACTGAAACACACTGACAAAAGGCACACAACTGAAAAAGTCTCACACGTGACTGAAACACTCTCACAGGCAGCTCTCATGCGCGAGAGCATTCCAGTCGTACTTGTGAGAGCGCGCCTACGTGGAAGAGTGGGTGAAAGCTACGAAATTTCAACAAATTCAGCATTAAAGTACCTCTCACATTCACCTGAAATGCTCTTACACATACTACCAATTGTTTTGCTCACACACAACTGAAAGGCACTCATACGCAGTGCTGAAATTGTCTAGCAGACACTCCTGACTCCCCCCCCCCCACTCACACACGCTGAAACATTCACTGGCATGCGCACGATTAAAAAGCTCTCATGCACAAGACTGAAATTTTCACACACATACTGCTGATTTCTTTGCTGCCGCACTTTTGAGTAGACCGCTGAAAGAAACCCTCTCACTCACTACTGAAACGCTCTCCACAACCAAAATGCTCTTACATACTACTCAGTTCTATTTTGCTCACACACACACACACACACACACAAAAATCAAATGCTCTCACACACACTACCGAAACAATCAACACAATCTACGGAAACCTCGTGATAGTAGACAACGGAAACACTCTTAGACACGACAATTTGATTTCGCTCACACACACACACAACTGCAAAGCTGTCAGATCACTCCTGCCCCCCCCCACCCCCACTCACACACAACAAACGCTCTCACGCTTACACTTTTGGAGAGTGTTTCAGCACTGTGTGAGTTAAAACTGAATTATGTCCCTGACTGCTCCTCATATTCCATCTTGATCATCATGCCAAGTAAGGATAGCGATGAAACAGAAGCTGAATGGACACTCACGTACACACACACACACACAAAAGCCCCCCCCCCCCCCCAAAAAACCCCCCCCCCCCCACAATCCCCACAGCCTCCTCCCTTGTGAAAGCATTGCAGTGAAAGCATGGCATTGTGGTTGTCTGTTCATCAGTATGGGAGACACGTCAACACTCACATACACATACTTGAAACTTTCAACTAGTCCTTTAAAGAGCCCGAAATATCATGACAGCACCCTATGTCGAGCCCAGTTTAAATCATTCACAGCACTAAAACCCCTTCAGGCCTTTTATTTCTCGAACAGCGTCTGTGACGGCTTCACGTAAACAAACAGGCTAATGTTGACGATTATCTGGAACCGAACAGCGATCTTAAAAATCTGTGCAGGTTTCAAAACTGTTTTTTGTTTTAGCGGTGGTGGCGTCACAAAAAGCGACAATTGAGCAACGGGAGAAATCCGAGGATTTCTGCCGCCCAACAATCGTCAATTTATCATCCGAACGAGGTTGGACATGCAACTGTCGCACTTACCGTCACAAGCGATCCCGGTGTCAATCAAAGGCGCTGCGCCCAGACGATGATGTCATGAAATCCGTCCACGCGCACGCCGCAGTTACGTCGTGTGCGTGGATGAGACCCACGCAGGCTGAACCAGATCAGAATGGGAGAAGGGAGGGGAAGGATGTGCTGATAAATAGGAGGTTGCCCCCCCCCCCCAAAAAAAAAGAAAAAAAACAGATTCACCACATACACTGAATTCTTTGTTCACTACATTCGGAAGCATAGTTGGGCCTTTGAATGCATAGCGGGACTGGTTGCAGCATCTCAAACGTAACATTTAAAGTCAGCTTTCATTACACTTCTGTTCGGAAACTATATGACCACACCAATAAAACCATGAGGCGAGATCTGTCAGTATTTATTCTACAAGCCATTCCGGTTTCTGGGAGAAATTAAGCACATATAGACAGACAGCTGATAACTATGAGATGTTTAAGGGTGACCTCAATTCATTATTATATGTATATATTTTTTAAATTTGCCATGATGGATAAAAAATAAAATCTGATTTGTACCTTCCCCACATCAGCTGCAAAAAAAAAAAAAAAAAAAACTTCATTTGACAGTTTTTACATCGATACAGAATTCAGTGGTAACAGTATTACATCAGTTTTGTTTCCTAGACCTCAGGAAACTTTTCATGTGTGTGTTGGGGGTGGAGAATGTCACTGTTATGAGATCACAGAGCAAAAAGTAATTTCATGACTTAAGCCTGGAAAATAAATAGAAGAGTGGTAGATTTTTTTTTCTTTCACATTCGACCCTTAAAAATGACGTGGGAAAGACTGAGGGCAACTAACCAACAGAATTGAAAGCACATTCCGAAAACGGAGGATTGCTATCATTCAACCAACGCTCGGCGGATATCACAAATTTGGTTTAAATTACTTTCGAAAAGTTCCGTCGGCTTAACTGTCACACACACACACAAACACACACACACAGCTGTCGTGAAATATGTGGCATGCACAACAGCACCACAGCTGAACGAATCGGATCAAGTTGGAGAAGATCCCGCGGTCAAGTTCTGACCCGTGACAGAATATTGGCAACGCCAGCAATCTGTCACGTGTGAGTTGAAAGCTTACCGGGCCAGCGTACGTCACACACATAAAAAAGACGTCATGTACTGCGATGTACAACAGGAGTGCAGGCATGACCGCAGAGCGATTGCGATTGTTTGACCGGACACGCGTGACAAGTGAGGATCTCCGCGAGGTATACCCGATGCAGATCGTGACATAATCTTGACAAGTTTCCTTCCCAACCACCTTCATTTGACAGTTTTTACATCGATACAGAATTCAGTGGTAACAGTATTACATCAGTTTTGTTTCCTAGACCTCAGGAAACTTTTCATGTGTGTGTTGGGGGTGGAGAATGTCACTGTTATGAGATCACAGAGCAAAAAGTAATTTCATGACTTAAGCCTGGAAAATAAATAGAAGAGTGGTAGATTTTTTTTTCTTTCACATTCGACCCTTAAAAATGACGTGGGAAAGACTGAGGGCAACTAACCAACAGAATTGAAAGCACATTCCGAAAACGGAGGATTGCTATCATTCAACCAACGCTCGGCGGATATCACAAATTTGGTTTAAATTACTTTCGAAAAGTTCCGTCGGCTTAACTGTCACACACACACACAAACACACACACACAGCTGTCGTGAAATATGTGGCATGCACAACAGCACCACAGCTGAACGAATCGGATCAAGTTGGAGAAGATCCCGCGGTCAAGTTCTGACCCGTGACAGAATATTGGCAACGCCAGCAATCTGTCACGTGTGAGTTGAAAGCTTACCGGGCCAGCGTACGTCACACACATAAAAAAGACGTCATGTACTGCGATGTACAACAGGAGTGCAGGCATGACCGCAGAGCGATTGCGATTGTTTGACCGGACACGCGTGACAAGTGAGGATCTCCGCGAGGTATACCCGATGCAGATCGTGACATAATCTTGACAAGTTTCCTTCCCAACCACCCCACCTGAAATCACCCAGCCCCACCCCCGGCTGCCTCCGTCCGTCCCTCAGTGCTGCAGCGCCTTCATCCTGTTGAGAGCGGAACCGGCCTTGAACCATTCGATCTGCGTTTCGTTGAAGCTGTGGTTGAGTTCCAGGACATCTTCGGTGCCGTCGCTGTGCTTCACAACGGCGCTCAAAGACTGACGAGGGAAACGAGGCGCTTTTAGTCAGGCTGCGGGAAAAACGTTTGGCTCGAGCTTGAAACGTAGCGACTCACCTTTCCGGGAGTGAACGTTTCCAGTCCTTTAATGGAGATCTTATCATCGGGGCAGATTTTCTCATAATCGGACGGGTTGCTGAAGGTCAGAGGCAGCAGGCCCTGCTTCTTTAGGTTCGTTTCTACAAAAGGACGCAAAAAAGGTCAGCCAAGCCACGGGCTGGAAAGAGCCACGCTTTGCGCGGCGGTGCCGTACCGTGGATTCTAGCGAAGCTCTTGACGATGATGGCTCTTCCTCCGAGATGTCTGGGCTCCAGCGCGGCGTGCTCTCTGCTGGAGCCCTCGCCGTAGTTGTCGTCTCCCACCACCACCCACGACACGCTGTTGGCCTGCACACAGGGAATGCCGAGACTTTGTCCTTACCGTTCACACACACAAAAAGTTGCTGCACGTCAACCCCTCTCACTTTGTAGTGACGGGCCACATCGGGCACGCCTCCGTACTCGCCCGTCAGGTGGTTCTTCACCGAGTTGATGGCGTCGTTCTCGCTGTTGACGGCGCCGATCAGCATGTTGTTGGAGATGTTGTCCAAGTGGCCGCGGAACTTCAGCCAAGGCCCGGCGGCGCTGATGTGATCCGTGGTGCACTTGCCCTTGACCTGCAACGCAAAACAACTTCCTTCATGGGATCACTGAGGAGAAACGGCGGCGGCGGCGCGCTCATGTATGACGATCGGACCTTGATGAGAACTCTCAGGTCCTCCAGGTCTTTGCCGCTCCACTGGTCAAAGGGCTCCAGCAACTGCAGTCGGTTGCTCTGAGGGCTGACGTCCACCTTGAGGCCCGTGCCGTCGGCGGGCGGGTGCTGGTAAGTGTCCTGACCCGGGTCAAAGTCTCTGGCGGGGAGCTCATCTCCACTGGGGGGCTGTAACTTGAATTTCTCACCGTTGGGGGCTGTCAGGTAGTCGGTCTCGGGGTTAAAGTTGAGAGTTCCGGCGATGGCCAACGCAGTGACAATCTACAAGAAATCACACACAAGATATTGCCTGCAACGTTTCCATTTCCACATCGGCTTTGTGTTGTTTTACCTCGGGGGACGTGACAAAGGCGTGCGTTGCGGGGTTGGCGTCGTTCCTGGCTGTGAAGTTTCTGTTGAAGGAGGTGACGATGGTGTTCTTCTCGCCTTTTTTCACATCGCGCCTTCATTCCAAAACAAACAACGTTAGCGCCAAAGCGACGCCGCTTCAAAACACTTTTTCCAAGCGGGGTTTCATCCCACCTGTCCCACTGTCCGATGCAGGGCCCGCAAGCGTTGGCCAACACGACACCTCCGACGTCACCGAGGATCTTGGACTACATGAAAAATAATCACGTTGGATTGCTTCATCGGCAACCGAAGGCAAAAGCGGTTCTGCGAGCGCCACTCACGTAACCATCCCTTTCGATCGTGGCGCGGATCTGCTCCGAGCCGGGGGTGACTGTGAATTGAGCTTTGCACTTCAGGCCTTTGTCCAAAGCCTGCTTAGCCACGGAGGCGGCGCGGCCCATGTCCTCATAGCTCGAGTTGGTGCAGCTGCCAATCAGACCTAATATGAACAGAGACGTGTAAAGAAATCGTTTTTCGCTAATAGCGTTTGAAAAGATGGTTGAGGAAAAGAATAAATAAAAAAAATCCATACCAACTTTAACCTCCAGTGGCCAGCCGTTCTTCTCGGCCACGGAACCCACGTCGGACACTGGGTGAGCCAGGTCAGGGGTGAATGGACCGTTGATGTGGGGCTTTAGCTGGGGGGGGGGATATGAGAAAATTGCAATGACTTTTGTGTCATTTCAGCTGAAAACAGTAAATCAGGAATATAAGATGTTGTCGCCGTGTCCGACCAGGATCCAAATAAATTTGTGACTAATGTGATTGACCAAAGATTATTTTGTGGTTTGTTTATACTTGATTCTGCTCATGTTAAATGGAATGCACAGAACTGTATGTAGTCGCGCCAAAGTACAAAGGTTGATTGACTGATTAAATCAAACAAGTCAGATTGTATTGATCAAGGAATGGTCTGTTATTGGGGGAAGATTGTATCTTCAAATCTGGGGGTTGGAATAGGCAGAAAAGTTTACAGTGCTGACAAAAAAAAAAAAAAAAAAAAAAACTGCGGCAGATAAATTTCGATAAAATCTAATCCATCCATGTCAAATATGACAGATAAGAAATGTAACGCAATCTTAAAAATGGGGACTGACCTCATCCAGGTTGATCTCGATGACTTGGTCGTACTCGCAGCCTTTATCTGGCACCAGCAGATCGGAGTACTCGTTAGCCAGAGCGGCAATCTCTGAGGGGGGGAGAGACAAAATATCAACATTTCAATCAAAACACACATTCTGTAGCAAAAACGGCACATCACATACCTCCGCGCCCAGTCTTCTCCAGATAAGTCCTCATGCGGTGGTTGTAGGGGAACACGGAAGTCGTCGCGCCGATTTCCGCTCCCATGTTGCAAATGGTGGCCATTCCTGTGCACAAACAACATGAGTGAGTTCAGACAGGAGAATTTATTTCAATGTCTTTAAAATGCATCTTACAAAGCCTTAAAAAAAAAAAAAACACACACACCAGTGCAGGAAATTGAGTCAACACCCGGTCCGTGGTACTCGACGATGGCGCCGGTGCCGCCTTTCACCGTCAGGATGCCAGCCACCTTCAAGATGACATCTTTTGGTGACGACCAGCCAGAGAGGGAACCCGTCAGCCTCACCCCGATCACCTAAAAAAAAAAAAAAAAGAGGAAGAGTCCTAAGAAGAGGGATTCAAGGAATTTTTTTTGTTGTTGTTGGTGTTTAAATGGCACATTAGGATGAGAGTCATCGCAGTGTAAAGTGAATTAAAAAAAAAAAAAAAACAACAACTCTGTTGACCTTGGGACATTTGAGCTCCCAGGGGATCCCTGCCATGACATCCACAGCATCAGCGCCTCCGACTCCGATGCAGATGGCACCGAGTCCGCCGCCGTTTGGTGTGTGGGAATCTGTGCCGATGAGCATCACACCAGGATAGGCGTAGTTCTCCAAAATGATCTGAACAGAGAACATTACTCAGCTAAAAATTGCAGTTGCGATCCAATTCAAAGTCCAAAATGACATCCCAACTCTTTACCTGATGGATGATCCCAGAACCAGGTTTCCAGAAACCAACTCCGTATTTTGCACCGGCACTTGCGAGGAAGTTGTAGACCTCTTGGTTTACTTCCTGGTTTAAAATGACCAATCGTGACGCCTTACTCGTCACCTACTCTTTCCAACAGCATCCGTGCATTGCGCCGAGCGGAAAACTCACCTTCGCCCTGGCCAGATCCTGATCGCCGCCGATCTGGGCTTCGATCAAGTGATCACAGTGGATGGTGGAGGGAACCGCCACCTGCGGCAGGCCGCTGCTGATGAACTGGAGCATGGCCATCTGCGCGGTGGCGTCCTGCATGGCCACGCGGTCGGGGCGCAGGCGAAGGTAAGTACGCCCGCGATCGATCTCCTGGTTGTGGGGGTCATCGAGGTGGCCGTATACAATCTTCTCTGACAGGGTAAGAGGTCGGTTGAGTCTGGGTGGGAAGAATGAGAGCAGGCGTTTTTTGTTAGAAGTCAGGAGGACAAGGGGGCAAAAGCTTGTTCATTCGGTTCCACAGGAGAAAAAAAAAAAAAGAAACAGAAGTAGGCATGGGTTTACTGCCCATGCTGTTGCGGAAAAACTGTGCCAAGGGGCAAACAAACATGACTTTGGCAGAGCAAGATGTAGGTGGACGCTAACCTTTTGCGTACAACATCAACATTGGACTGGAGCTTGTCGTAGCTGACAAAGGAGGTGGGCTCGAAGCGGCTCATGGATACTTGGGCCTTGGCTCTATAAGCGGCTGCCACATGCAGCCGCCGTGCGCCATGTCCCAGAGCAAGCTGGGGACAAGAGAGAGACATTCACGCATTCTTCTTTACAAAAAATGATTCAGACAGACAGACAAATTCATTTCCCTAACCTGATGCCTGTTAGCTTTTCTGGTGGTAACTGATATACCATATTAAGCTCGAAAAGAATGTTTATATTTAAATGCAAATGTACTGTAATGCACCGCTCGCTGTGTACAACTGTAAAGTCTTTTGGTCAGTCAATCTGTTCTCCTGTACGTCTAACCTTGTGGTTAACCTTGTCGAATTAAATGGAAATCCGAGCACTATATAATACGAATTAAATACCAAATTATATTCAAGACTTAGTAATGACTGATTTTAAAATCAGTGCATGGGTTTATTTCCAAAAAGTCAGCAGGATGCAAATTGTTGCCCTCTGAATGCGCACAGAGGGACACGATGACCCGGCTAGCTAGCCGCAACCGGCTACGAGATGGAGAACGCGACCCTAAAGCGATTTATTCCTTTGGACACACAACGATCGAGGAGAAGAATGCAAAGCATCAACATGACAGCCTACGCATCCTGAGTGACATACGAAAATAAGCGAATGTGTCTCATACCTGCAGCCGCGCGACGGTGAGACAGTAAGTTGCCATTTTGTTCACTGACAAAGATGTGGCGATTTCTAGTGACGTCACACATTTTATACGGCAAGGCTTACTGGTCCTTAAAGAACAAAAACACAGATTATTCATGCTTGACGTATATCGTTATCATATCATCTTTATTGAGAACTAATTTAAACATTTATGAAATTAAAAAGGTTTAACATATTTTTTTAGATGAATATATATTGTAAATAATTTAAAATGTGTGTATTTTTTTATGCAACTGAGAGGATCTGCGCGTATGGAGACGTATTTTCTTTGGCTACATTATATTACTATATATTATATTTCATAACACCATAAACACATCCAATTTTTTTAATATAATGTGATTATAATTATAGAAATACTGGACATGAACAAATTGATAAAACACGTGACCATCATAAAGCACATGTAATGGTAATGCTCATTTGAGACACTAGATGGCGGTAATGTAAAATCGACGTATGTGGTTTTCGGGTTCAAAGGTGAAAGTTTACTGCGCTGCCTCGCTCGGAGTTCGTTAGCCAACAATGGCAAAACATCATCCAGATTTGATTTTCTGTAGAAAGCAAGCCGGTGTTGGTATGTTTTATTCATTAATACGACGAATACAACATCTTTTTACTTGACTGTCCGATCTTGGACATGTTTTGAGCAAGATAATGCTATTTGCTAATAGTTGCAGCATGGACTTCATTGAAACTTAGCATCGGTGTTAGCGTGTCAAAGTTAATGTCTGCATGAACATTATATTGTTATTAAATGCCAAATTTGGAAATAAACAGGGGGTTATGTGTGGAAGAGACGTGTATACGAGTAAATAAAGTGAATGAACAATTGACTAACTGCTATTTTTGAATTCTGCAGCCATCGGGAGACTTTGCGAAAAATGTGAGTATTTTTCTTATCTCTTATTTTTTGTATGCAACCACATCATGAATATGTATATTGTGTTGACAAATTGTAAAGACAATGTTTGAGTGGAGTTACCATTTGAAGTCATTCTTCACATATCTTTTCAGCAGTAAAAAAAAAAATCATTTTTTACATACACAACTAATTCGAATGGAATGCATTTTCTGTTAATAAACCGAATAGTTTCCAGCTAATACTATGAAATAACAGTGGGATTCCACTTTTGTCCAAACGTAAGTGCAGTTTTTGTAAAAATTGTGGAATGACATGCCAGTGCCAACAAAATGGCTTTTTAAAATGTGACTTTATTCCTGAGGTCTTGTTCTGTATTCTTTAATCTCAAATTGTAACACAGTATGTGCTGCGTTTATTCGGGGTGGCCTAAAGAACATTATGCCGACTGTATATCTGTACCTTTTTCCCTTCTTTAGGCGATGGCAAGTGTGTCATCTGTGATTCTTACGTGAGGCCATGCACGCTGGTCCGTATCTGCGACGAGTGCAACTATGGCTCCTACCAGGGACGCTGCGTCATCTGCGGAGGGCCGGGAGTGTCCGACGCCTACTACTGTAAAGAGTGTACCATCCAGGAGAAAGATGTCAGTTGTCATACTTTTAGCTGCCATCTCAGAGCCACTGGAAAGTCCACTGACACTCTGTTGCTCTCTTTTTTTTCGCAGCGAGATGGCTGTCCGAAGATTGTGAATTTGGGAAGCTCGAAAACAGATCTGTTCTACGAACGGAAGAAGTATGGCTTCAAGAAGAGGTGAAGACACCGTGGTCTTATCTTCATTTTTAGTTTCATAGTTTCAAGTTTTTTTTTTTTTTTTTTTAAATAAACGTTTCTGGCAACAATTTTTTTGTGACCTCGATTTGTTAAGTGATTTCAATAAAAGCTCTTTCAAATAACTGACTTTGTGTTGTGTGAGAATGCCTTGTCTAGATTATTTAATTAAAGAGTTTTGTCATAATTCAAACAGAATATTCCTCTCGGGCATACCCACATAGAACAGAATAAAGTTCTGTAAATATGGAAATAGCACCCCACCACCACCAACTGGTCAAGATGTTCTCTGCAAGGCTTTATTTATACACAATGAATATACATGAATGTCACCAGACTGAAAAAGTCAAGACCGCATTTAACAAAGATGAAAGTTTCAAAAGAAAACAACGTCAAAAGTTGGACATTTCCGAAAGAAGGCCGATATGCAATCCGGACTGCAGCAGAAAGCGTGAGAGCGACTTCGAACAGGTCAGGAAGCCGATCGTCCGCATATTACACCGCTTTAAAAGGCGATGCTCGAGAACTCTGGTTAAACTGCATTTGAATATGAATAAGGCTGGAAGTGCTTTGATAGATCGAGGTATGTCGTAAATCCACAAAATTCCACCGGACATGCCTTAGATTAGCAACTCATAGCTTTCCTGGCGAACGGACAGTACCCATAAGGAAGCGGCAGAGAAACTGAACACGAAAAACAACACTGGTGATGCAACGGAATGTCCCTGTACTAAAAGCTACTTTCGACTTCATAGTATTACATGAAGGGAACTGAACGTTTTTTTAACAATAGTTGTAACCTTTATGTGGTTTTGAAATTATTTAGATGAGAAAAAAAAAAGGTCAAATGACAAACTTTGTCATTTTCCCCCATGCATTGTTTTGAAACACCAAACATCCCCCATCGTGAACATTATAAAACACATTACAAAGGAAACAGATGATCTCCGAGCATGTTATGATATCAAATTTTTTTTATCGCCGCAAAACGAGATTCCTCCTAGTTTTGTACTTTGACCGGGAGTGAAACGATGGGAGATACAACAAATAAGGCCCATAATAGGCGACAACCATTTCCACGACATGCATTGATGGGAGTTTGTACAAGTCACACATAAAATTCACAAAGACACAAGCGTGGCAGACACACACAGACACCAAAGTGTGAGGTGTCCCACTCAACAATCCCCCCCACCCACACCCACACCCACAGAAAACCAGGACAATGTAATTCCCTGAATACATTTCAATATTTTCCACCTGCTTAAATTTGAAAAAAAAAAAATATTTAACATGTTTTGTTGAACATAGAAAACCAAGTGGAAATTTAAAACGTGGTGACAGATTATTCCGGAATAATCTGTCACCACGTTTTAAGGTATTGCAATAGCGACGCATCTATCAACTCTTGTAATTAATCTTAATAAAAAAGACGTCACAACGCTAAAAAGCTCATTATTATACCATCAATAAAAGATGACCTCTTACAGCCGATAAAAGCACAGAACACAAGAAGCGCTTCACTCAAACGCTCAAAGCTCCGAACGTGAGCTTCCGTTTGCATCGCGCGCTCTGCTCCACTTTTTCCCCTCCTCTTTTTTTTTTCCATCCCCAAACCACACCATTTAGAAAAAAAAAAATCTTAAGTGCAGTCTACAGGTCTTCCGGCACCAGACTTGAAAAAGAAAAGAAGAAGGACGAGTGAGAACGCTGTTGGTGTGACATTGCATCGTGTTTGGTTTTGTGCAATGACTTGGAACAGTTCACCAGGCGACCGCGGCAGGAAGTGACACCCACGCTCCTGTCTGAAAGGGTATTACCACCCCACGCCACCCCTTCCCCAACCTTTGTTAGGCAGTTTTTTTTTTCATATATATCTAAGTATGGCCAACAAAGAAGATGGCTAACAAATCCCAAATGCCGCCTTATGCTACAGGGAGGGAAGACATTCACAACTGTGGTTTTTTTTTTTCTTTTTGGGCCCCTTACAATTTTCCGAATTTGGCCTCGTAACTTCCCGCGATGTTTTTGTAGCGGCCGCACTCCTTGCGCAGATCCGCCACCTCCGTCCTCAGCGCCGTGTTCTCGCGCTCCAGGAACGCCGCTCGCACGGTGATCTGGTTTTCCTTTAGCCTGCGGGCGTCGCGTGAGCGCTTGGCGGCCATGTTGTTCTTCTTCCGCCTCTGCCAGTACTTGTCATCCTGAAAGAACATTGCGCATTTTTGTCATTTTTGCTTCACGTGGCTGCTTGGCAGACTCGGGTGTCGCCGAACAGAATTGAAGACTTTAAATTTATACAATGAAAGCATGAGAATATATCTGCACAGTTGCGTTCATCGCACGGGTGTAAGAATTGCCATTTTGATTTCTGTCATAAGCCACAATTGAAACTCGATCCGGATCACAGGTCGGCATACTCCAATCCATTCAGGTCAGAGGTCACCATACCAAATTTTCCCAGGGCAAGCTAAATTTAGCTGTCACTCATATACCCAAATGGTTTTCATGGTCCTCAGTCCAAGCCGATATAAGCAACAACCCTCTTCAGGCAAGTCCTCGATGAGCAACAGGGTGAAACTCATTTTTCATTTCCTATTGGGCTCATTTGCATTTCCAAACTCCCATCCTGCTCTTCGCCTTAGTCAAAGGATACGATCACAAACACAAGTGCTTGAATTGTCTTGAGAACAGTCATCTCAGTCTTTCCTCTTGAGGCAGGGGGGAAGAAAAAAAAAAGTAGGACAAAAAGACAATATTTACCATTAATGGTTTGTTTGTGCTTTCAAATTCCATTGGTCCAACTCATTCTAGCCGGCTATTAGCAATTTCCTTTTTAGCTGCATTCTTGCAGGGGGGGGGGCGGGGGGGGATATGTCTTGCCTGTCAACATCGTCGCCAAATTCAGGTCAACAAGAAGTCACTCAATGACTGGAAAGGACTGCTGAGTCACTGTGAGACATCAGAACGGCTTATCTGCGTGTGGGGCGGCAAATGGCATTTCGAAAATTTTCCATTTTGGTGGGTAACATCTAAAACATAGATTACCCCCAAAAAAGTGATGTCTTTTTTTTCTTTTTTTTTTTTGAATTTCGTGTTGATGTGGTTCCACCCTAGCAGTGCTTTGGAGCAAAAAACGGTTGTCCTCCCCAAATATTGCCGAGCAACAAGCGGCTGCACAAAAGTTGCGTACCTTCTGTTCTTCAGGGACAAAAACTTTCTTGGCCTTCTTAATCATGGGCTGAGGCTTGAGATCTTCATCGGTGAACTTGTGCTTACGAGGGTCAAACAGTTCGCCCCCCGGTACGCTCGACAGGACCAGGTCGGTGGGGTCGGGCTCGTAGTTGACGTCAACCTGGATGTCGTCGGGATCTACGGCGTCCGGGGTCGCGCTCTCTGGATCTGTTGTCACTTCTGAGGAGAGGAGACAAGGAAGTTTAAAATCGAAAGAACTCAACGCCTTTGCCCCCCGTTTCCACTCACCTGCTGTAACATCAGACGTGACGTCGGTCTCGCCGTTTGTGATGATCACCACCTCTTCATCGAACTTTACCAGCTCGTTAACTGGCAGCAGGGACGCGTCGGCCGGCTTCTCCTTCACCTCCTCCGCCTTGATGGCGACGTCTTCTTCAGGCGAGGCGGCGATGCCGTTCTCCATGAGGAACTCCTCGAGGTCCATGTACTCCAAGTGGAAGTTCTCACCGTCGTAGGGAATGGTTTTGTCCCAGATGGCGGGGGTGAGGGCGGCCGACGGCTCCATCCCACTGCCTCCTCCGCTGAGGTCGGCATCCTCGTCCAACCCCAACTTCTCCTTGTCCGTGTCTAACACACACAGAACATGTAGACAGTCAAACACCATAGTGGGTCTTTTTTTAAACATGTATAAAGCTGTTTGTGAACATGTATCGAGGTAGAAGGCACATTTGTGTTGATTCTCGTTCAGCCTGAAAGTAAATGTGGTTCAAATGCACACTCTTGGCAATACGGGCCACTTCCCAGGGCTCACAAAATACACGGGAGCGGGCACCAACTATTATGAATAGCCTACAGACAACACTTAACTTTAATCCATATTTTTGGATACAGTACGCTCCAAATAATGCACGTGGCAATGTTTTATTGCGTTTTTGTTTCGATCACTGTCCCTGTTCAATAAACCAATAGATCAATACATTTACCGATGATAAAAAGTGCTTTGCAATCCTCGGAAGGCAAACTCTTCATGGTTTTGATGGATGAAAACAAGGATCTACAGTATATTGGTTTGCAAGTGCGTTGTCACAATGCCTTTTCACACTTAGATTGGTTGCATCTCACAGTCGGTAAAAAAAAAAAAAAAGCTAACGAAAAAATTTTAAGATCATTTAAAGACATTTTTAAAGCCCGGAAAGGGTTTCAGACGGGC